TAATTGGCCAACTAATATATATAGAAAAAGTAAGCCGGGCATGGTGGCGCATGCCTGTAGTCACAGCTACTCGGGAGGCTGAGGCAGGAGGATCGCTTGAGCCCAGGAGTCTGAGGTTGCTGTGAGCCAGGCTGACGCCACGGCACTCACTCTAGGCTGGGCAACAAAGCGAGACTCTGTCTCAAAAAAATAAATAAATAAAAATAAAATAAAGTGAAAAATTAGAGAACCACTTAATAAATGTATCCTGATAATTTTTTTTTAAAACAAAGGCCCATCAGAGGAAACAATAAAAGGGGTCTTTGGTGACAAAATATTCAGTATCTGTTGACTTCCAGTTGTAGTTTTTTCAAGAGAGGGATACACAATGGGAGGGAGTGAGGATTTTTCTCGGCAGGTCCGGGGGCAGCAGTCGGGTGGGGTTTTTTGAGCCGTGTTCTGAGGCGTGTTCTGCCTTTCGTTGTAGTGACCTGCAGAGACGAGAAGACACAGATGACCTACCAGCAACACCAATCGTGGCTGCGGCCCATGCTCAGAAGCAGCCGGGTGGAATACTGCAGGTGCAGCAGGGACGGGGCGCAGTGCCACTCCGTGCCCGTCAAGAGTACGTATGCTCGGCCGGGCGTGGCGGCTCACGCCTGTAACCCTAGCACTCTGGGAAGCCAAGGCAGGCGGATCGATGAGCTCAGGAGTTTGGGTCTACCCTGAGCAAGAGCGAGACCCTGTCTCTACTAAAAAAATAGAAAAAATTAGCCGGGCATGGTGGCGCATGCCTGTAGTCACAGCTACTCGGGAGGCTGAGGCAGGAGGATCGCTTGAGCCCAGGAGTCTGAGGTTGCTGTGAGCTAGGCTGACGCCACGGTACTCACTCTAGCCTGGGCAACAAAGCGAGACTCTGTCTCAAAAAAATAAATAAAAATAAAATAAAGTGAAAAATTAGAGAACCACTTAATAAATGTATTCTGATAATTTTTTTTTAAAACAAGGGCCCATCAGAGGAAACAATAAAAGGGGTCTTTGGTGACAAAACATTCAGTATCTGTTGACTTCTAGTTGTAGTTTTTTCAAGAGAGGGATACACAATGGGAGGGAGTGAGGATTTTTCTCGGCAAGTCTGGGGGCAGCAGTAGGGTGGGGATTTTTGAGCCGTGTTCCGAGGCGTGTTCTGCCTTTCGTTGTAGTGACCTGCAGAGACGAGAAGACACAGATGACCTACCAGCAACACCAATCGTGGCTGCGGCCCATGCTCAGAAGCAGCCGGGTGGAATACTGCAGGTGCAGCAGGGACGGGGCGCAGTGCCACTCCGTGCCTGTCAAGAGTACGTATGCTCGGCCGGGCGCGGCGGCTCACGCCTGTAACCCTAGCACTCTGGGAAGCCAAGGCAGGCGGATCGTTGAGCTCAGGAGTTTGGGTCTACCCTGAGCAAGAGCGAGACCCTGTCTCTACTAAAAAAATAGAAAAAATTAGCCGGGCATGGTGGTGCACACCTGTAGTCCCAGGTACTTGGGAGACTGAGGCAGGAAGATCGCTTGAGCCCAGGAGTTTGAGGTTGCTGTGAGCTAGGCTGA